CCCGGACCGACAAAGGGGAGACGGTTTCAGGCAGAATGGTTGAAACAAGGAGTCAGAAGACCTCAGAAGAGCGAAAAGAACTGTTAGAAGTGGAGGTCAATACGGACCATGCCATGAACGACAGCCAGGAAGTACATGGACTGGAAGGGAGAGGCAGAAGGCTGGCGAGTGAATCTACTCCGGTGGAACAAGGCCATGAATTTGCCACTTCCACCGGGACATTGGATCGAGAGGAGATGTCGGAACTGTCCGACATCTCAACTGAAATAGCGGCAACTAGAAGATCTCCAACAGACAACACTATGATGGCAGGCGGAACTGAGAAACAAACAACGTCATCATCGTTCTCAGAAAGAATGAGGAACACCTTAGGAAACATCTTTCCATTCACCATGGGAGGAGGCGCAGGAAATGAAGGTGAATCCCAGGAGGAGGTGGACGAAGAAGAGCAAGTGGACTTTGGGTCTCAAGTCAGCCTCAATAGTTCGACCCAGGAGAATGAGGCATACGTCGGAAGAGAGACTGGAACCATGGATAAATTTGGTGTAGTGAGAACGATAAGCAAAGAGGTAAACACACCGGGCCAGTCAAGAGACTTCGCGATTATGACAAATTCAGAGCTGCAAACTGGGGAGAGTAGAAACAGAGGGCTAGGCAACGCATTGGCGAATCCTGAGGTGGATAATGAAAAGACGTCGAGGCAGAGAGTCAAGGCCCGGATCTCGACCAGCACGAAGCTACCTGGGACCGACAGGGTTACACCGCCACTAGTGACGCCACTCGTGGATAACGGGGCAGCACTAGAAGAAGCCTTAAACAACATAGTGGACAGTTTAGGAGAACAAAATGAATAGATTTCCATAAGAATGAGTGAACTAGAAAGGGCAGTTCACATTGAAAGAGAAAGTCTGCGGGAAGAAATAAACCGCAATAGACAAGAAGTTGGAAGGAGCGAAAAACGCTTGAAATAAAGAACGTACGAGCATATGGCGAAGAACTTGTCGCGAATGACAAGAGAAGCGGAACAGAGAGAGTTACGCTTAAGAGACGCTAAGTTGAGAATTCAGCAAGAGCAGTCTCTTGGGACTCTTGACACAAAGATAGACGCGATGATGGAGAGGCGAACTCAGGCTATCATGGACAGGTTGGACGGGCTACTAAGCAGCAACAGTGGACCAAAAGAAGGGGAACCGAACTCGGGAGGTCCCAGCAGGGAGCCGAAGGTGAACTTCAATGAACATCAAAAGAGGAAGACATATGGATCCACTAGAGGCAGGGGCAGTTCAACAGGCAATGCCACAAGGGATAATAGAACATGGGGCCCGAACAGTAGGGCAAGTTCAACGGGGAACAGACATACCTCTAATGAACGACCAACGCAAGGCACACATGCGACTGGGAGAAGTGATTCCGGTAACAGAGGGCATGCAAGCCCGGGGAGGAGTCATGTGGGCCAAGCGGGAAACACTCACGGCGATACGGATTGCAGGGATGCACCGCATACAGAGCCTTTGACAAGGTGTGAGGACACTCAGGCGGGACACTCAAGGGATGCTACGGCAATGTCCACAGCCTTTGAACCCCTAAACAGGTCTTTGGAGACATTCCTTACAAGGTTATCCAGAACCAATGAACGCAGTGAGAAGTTCAGAAGAGTCTTTAAGAAACCAAGATGCTATAAAGATGAATCTGATGGCTGTATTGATACCTGGATAGAGGTAACGAAGCTGCATTTCGAGGAAGAGGACTTGTCGGAGAGACAGGAATGCAGTGCGCTCACCAGCAATTTGGAAGGGACAGCCCTGAACTGTGTCATGGCAAGAAGCAATGTCAGCGTGACACAGCTGAAAATCTTCGAAATCTTGTTAAACCGTTTCGGATCAGGGGTGCAGGGGCACCAACCGATGATGCGCTTCGAGAAACGGAGGCAACGAGAAGATGAAACGATAGACAAGTTTCTCGATGACTTGGAAATGCTGAGAAGACGCAGCCAACCGGATGAGTCAAATCGAAGGATGAACCTGGCCGTAGCCTCAAAATTCATCGATGGTGTGAAGAATGATGAACTTCGAACAATGCTAGCAACGCATTACACACCACTATCAACCAATGCGCCAACACCAGAGGAGTTGAGGCTCAAGTCAAAAGAGTATCTTTTGTTGAAACCTCCTTCGAGATCTGGATACTACAAGAACAATTATGGCAATTTTAACAATGGGCCAGCAAACCAAGGGAACAATTGGTACAAACCAAGGGATGATATGGACAAGAGACGCTCTTGTGCCAAATGCAGTTCAACGGACCATCATGTGTCAGCATGCCTAACTTACAAACAAGGCATGAAAGCAATAAGCTTTAGCCTGGAGGACGAAGATGCGTCAGAATTGGACCATGAGGATTTCATGAGAGGGGTAATTGCAAAATTCGGCCCGAAGTGTTTCTTTTGCAACTTGGAAGGTCATTTTAAATCAGATTGTCCGCAATTCTGGGATGCAGTGGCAGACATCAAGCATCCAAGGCATGAAGAAGCTTTGTCAGGAGTGAAAGCCAGCAAGGCTCGCCTGTTGAGTGAAGCGGAGGCACGCAGAAAAGATAAACCTCAAGAGCTGGCGGCAAAGAAAATGCAAGCGGTAACAGAAGAGACACGTGAACCGGAACCAGCAACTGCGGCCGATGACTTCAAGATTGATTATAGGGCAGCCGCTAGGGATGCTCTAAATAGAGTACAGCAGGAACTGGTGACGAAAGAGATCGAACAAAAAGTGAAACTTGAACTGGAGAATGAGAAACTTCAGGAGCAACTGAATACCTTCGAAGCAACGGAGTTCGAGGAAACTAAAGCACCAAGCAGTTTGAGCATGAAACTTAATGTGATCTCCGGTCAGAGGTTCGGTATGGTGCCGCAAGGAAGCAAGATACAGTCGATAATCTTAGTGGCTGGACATCAGGTAATCAGAAATTTAAGTGAACCATCCGAGTTCACTTTGATGCATATGGACACATATGCAGATTATCTGAGGCAGGTGGAGCCACGCACCGAGTCGAGAGCTGTGCGAGGACTACTAACAACGGGTGGCCCTCGCATGAAGAAACTTCATGGACGCTACCTAGAGGTCTATGGGCCGTATCAAGTGATGCTTGTTCTGTGTTGAACTTATGATTTATATTCAAAACCGAGAGTTTAGAATACGTCTTGAATTGGATAATGTAGAAAGAATTATGATTGATTTTAGCAGGAAAGAATCACGTGAAAAGTGGCGGGAATTAAGATGCAAGAAAACAAGAAACATATTACATGTACATAAAAGCAATTTATAATAAAACTCTTTGGCATACATTGAAGTTAGCCACGTCTGAACATCCAGCCCACCTTGAGAGATCCTCTCAAAAGATAATAGTCACATAACTAATAATGAGAGCTCTAAGGAGACCGTTTTTTGACAAATGGTTTTTCTTTCAGATATGTTTGCGACATATGATGTACCCACTGATGAGACGATGAGAATTGCCGATTTTGTGAAAGAGTGTAAAGCAGCTGATGAGTTAATGGAGATGGCCGTGAAAGGAAGATACGAATTTCTGCCTGTCAAATCTGTCTTTGGGTTTTTAAAGAATCCCAAACAGCCCGGGGTTATAAAGAATGAAGTAATCAGATTCCAAAATGATGCTGTTAACACAGCTTCCAAGAGTGAAAGATTTGACGACTTGCAAAGAGAGTTTAACGTAGGCGAACCAGGCTTGGATTGTGGATTTGGAAATGATGTTTATCAGCCCGTTGTGCCAAAGAGCAGTCAAAAATATCAGTATGGGAAAATCATTGTAGGGAAGATGAAGAAGTGTACGATCCGTTTTTATTGATTTCTAGAGGCATATCATTTACACCCTGGCATATCGATGGAGATCCGCCCTTGACTGCATGGTCGCAACTTCAGCGTGGGGAGAAACTTTGGTTTTTCACAACGAATAGAAGAGTAACCAATTTTCTGCTACGAAAACCAGAAAGTCGATGGTCGCCGTCCAGTTGGCTAACCGAGTCCTTGAGAATGGATCGTAAAGACCTGTGGGTTCATGTGCAAAAACCAGGTAATGATATTACTGAATAAATGTTAAGACACTACTTGAAATATTTTCATTTGCAGGGGAAGCTATATATCTACCGTATTGTACTGGCCACATGGTTTTGACGTATGAGTAGTGTGCTGCTAACATGGTCCATAAAAACCAGTGATTCTACTGAGGTAATGCAGAAAAGACAAGTGCAGTACACAGCTCCAACAGGTGTAGCTCATCCGGTATTGAATCCAAGAAGCCGAAGTCAGAAGATGCAGCTCGTGATTCCGGCCTCCCAAAGTCCGCCAAAGTGTGGCGCGCGTGGTGGTATTGTTACCCAGTCAACGCCCTGTTGTATGATGAAGCTTGCGGCAGAGTTCTTCTTGTCGTTGCCCAGAATTTCACGTAATGCTATCATCTCATTTCGTGCACCAATGAAGTTGGTAGCATTGTCACTATATATACATGCAGGCTTTCCCCGTCGAGCAATGAACCGTTTCAAGGCTGATACACAAGATGGTGTTGATAGGGAAGAGACAAGTTCAATGTGGACCGCTTTGGTGGTGAAACACACAAGTAACGCAATGTACGCTTTTCCCACGGACTTGGAAGAGGTTTTGAGAAAAATCGGTCCACCAAAATCAATGCCAACATGCGTGAAAGGTCGTGATTGGGTTATACGTTCCTGGGGAAGGTCTCCCATAATTGGGTTTGCACTTGCTAGCCGTCTTGCGAAGCGTCGGCAAGTAATACATGATTGTGTCACTTTAGTTATTACCTTTTTGCCACCGGTTATCCAGTATCTTTGACGTAAATGTGACAGCGTTGCTTGTGGGCCTCCATGCATGGTTTCGGTATGTGCTTGACGGATTAACAGAGTTGCTAGATGTGATTTGCCGTCTATTAGTATTGGAAACTTCAAATCGTTGCTGTGATCACTTTGCGCTAACCTTCCCCCCACTCGTAAAAGACCGCTATCTTTTTCAACAAAGGGCGTCAGCGACAGGAGTGCTCCTCTGTACGATGTCTCCTCAGATAGTTGCGAGATCTCATCATTGAAAAAGTCCTTTTGATGGCTTGCTAGAAGTGCGTGTAGTGCCGTGACGAGTTCATCTGCCATAAGATTGCCTTTAGGAGTTGTAATTTTCCTTAACAACTTTGAAGCTCGGAGTAGCCATGCAGTCACTCGTACAAGTCTAGACATAACAGAGAACCTGGTCTCGAATGGTTGACATAGAGGTACCTTATACGCATGAAGAATCGTTCGCTTGCGTCTCTCTGAATCCTCGTTACTGATGATTGACGGTTGTTGGGGCCATGTGATAGGATTTTCGGCGAGCCAGGAAGGGCCATTCCACCAAAGTTTATGAGAAAGGAGAAGACTAGGGGCCAATCCTCTGGAGGCGCAATCCGCTGGATTTTCGGCTGAGGGAACATGCTTCCAAGAGGCAGGTGGAATAATTTCTTGTATTGCTGTGTATCGATTGCCAACAAAACATGACCATTTTGCTGGGTGGTCGTTGATCCACGACAGAACTACAGTCGAATCAGTCCATCCGATGGGTTTGAGCATTGGCTTCTTCTGAGAAGAGAATGCATCCAGGCATGCTTTCAATAATTTGCAGCCTAAGGCAGCAGCGCTAAGTTCCAATCTTGGTATACTTATTTGCTTAATGGGAGAGAGCTTTGTCTTAGCGGAGAGGAGGTTTACAACAACATTTCCAGTGGCATCCGTACAACGGGAGTAAACTGCTGCAGCAAATGCGCGCTCTGAGGCATCACAAAAAACATGAAGTTGCATTTCAACAATAGGCGATTGATGTGTTAAAGGTCGGTTGATTGTTAAATTTTGAAGCAAAGAAAGTTCTCCTCTAGAATTTCTCCATGACATCTCAATAGATTCCGGAAGTCGTTCATCCCAATCAGATCCAGCCAGCCAGCATTCTTTCAAGAGAATCTTGAACTGTAAGATTGTAGGAGAAAGCCACCCCATGGGATCGTAGAATGTGGAAACATCAGACAGCAGTTTCCTCTTTGTCAACTTTGATATTTCAGGCATTCTTGTTATAGTGAACGAAAATTGATCAGTGATTGGGTGCCAATTCACACCAAGGGTCTTGATTGAGTACTGTTTGTCACAGATTGTGTAGGCTTCGGGTGCCTCTTGCAACGAAGTCGGTAATCTTGTGATTACTTGTGGGCAATTGCTTGACCACTTTCGAAGATCGAAACCACCTTTCTTGAGTGTTGATATAAGATTATCTTGTAATACGACTGCCTCTTCCACAGTGTCTGCACCTGTAAGAGCATCGTCGACATAAAAATCGTTTCTTATGACTTGAGCGGTGATTTCGTCGTCAACATCTAAAGCTGTTTCCGTGAGGGATCTAGTTGAATGGTATGCAGATGAACGTATCCCATAGGTCACGCGAGTCATCCTGTAGGTCTTAATGGGTTTCTTTGGATCGTTTCGCCAGAGTATCCGATGAAAGTCCTTGTCTGGTCGTGCTAAACAGATTTTTCTATACATTTTGGCCACATCAGCAGATAAGGCAATTTGATGAACTCGGAAGCGACTGAGTATATTGAACAAACTATCTTGGATCACGGGACCAGTCATGAGTGTGTCATTAAGAGATGGACCTCCACCACTCGTTTTGGCTGAAGCATCAAAGACAACACGAAGCTTAGTTGTCGTACTAGAGTCCTTAGTCACACAGTGATGCGGAAGGTAAAACACGTCTGCGCAATGTTTATTGATTTCTGCTGCGGGAACGAGTTCTAGATGTCCTAGATCAATGAATTCGTTTACAAATGCTTCGTACTTATCCTTCAGTTGCTTGTCTTTTAAGAGACGTTGTTCAAGTAATAAAAAGCGTCGTTCAGCTTGTTGGTAGCTTTCAGCGAGAGAAGGGGCGCCGTCCTTTACTGGAAGTTTGACAACGTACCTCCCTTCATCATCCCGCATTGTTGTTTTAGTGAAGTAATCTTCACATTCCCTTTCTTCTTGAGTTAGACGAGAACTCTTAGGGACTTCTTCCAATTCCCAAAACTTCTTGAGAACTTGATCCGTATCTTCTTGCATAAGTAAGTGATTCACGATTTCTTCCGTATTGTGGGTCGTCATAGAGACATGCTTCGATTGCGATGAATTTGAAGAGGTTGCACCAGATACAATCCAGCCCAAGTCTGTTTCTTGAAGACAAATTGTATCGCTCAACTTGATCAATCCAGGTTTGAGAAGTGCTGAGTAGACGTCCACTCCAAGAAGAACATCAATTCTGCCAGGCTTGTGAAAACTGCTGTCAGCCATATCAAGATTGTTGATATGCTTCCACCCGCCGAAGTTCACGTTAGCCAGTGGGAGGTTGCAGGTCACACGAGGCAGGACAATGAATACTCCTGTCAAAGATTTGGAGAATCTGGGAAGCATTTCAGCAGTAACAACTGAATTTGATTGTGCGGAGACTGTCTCCCCCACGGATTGAAGATTAGTAGTTACTTTCTGACAACGCAATCCTAGCTGCTGGGCACAATGGCGTGTCATGACCGAAGCAGTTGAACCTTGATCTAGTAATGCGCGAAAATATTGTACATTACCATGACGATCCTTGAATGCAACCTGCGCAGTGGGTAGGATGGTATCCGTCTCCTCGGGTCTCCTGGTGCCAATATGATTGATCGCTTGGGCGGACCTGTGTAGCAGCGTGTTGTGCTTGCCTTGACATGTCTTGCATGTGCTTGTTGAGTTGCATTGATTCGCAAAATGACTAGAACGTAGACAGTTATCACATAGTTTGTTCGTCTTGACAACTTGAAAACGCTCATCTATCGTCTTTTCTCGGAATGAATTACAGGAGAATAGTTTATGATTCTTGGATTTACAGCAAAGACAATTGTCTTTAGTTAAATGGTAGACATTGGAATGGTTGTTTTTGTTCCGATTGGACTGTGATTGCTTTGCTTGGCTGCTAGGCTGTATAGAAGCATGAGGTGAAGCTTCTAAGGATCGTGCTCGTTGATCAATGAACTGGAGTACATCATCCAAATCATGTAGTTGTGGACCAGGATTCTGAAGCTCCCATTGTCTTCTTGTTTCCGGGTCCAATTTCTCTAGAATGAGATACGTAGATGTACGCACTAGTATCCACTTTATGAGATTGAAGGGCTGACAGGTGCTCCACAATCTTCGACTGTAGTTTCCTCAGGGCACTGACATTTTCGCTTTTCAATGCCGAAAATGCAAGAAACTCCTGAATATGAGCATTGATTACTGAGCGTCTGTTGTCGTATCGTTTTATGAGCTGTTGTTTAGCAATGGCGTAGTTTGCGTCGGTGATTGACAAAGAAGCTATGATTCTGGCAGGTTCATCTTTGAGGGCTGCTTTGAGGTAGTTTAGTTTCTGCGCATCACCGAGAATTATTCTTGTCAATAGACGCTGTGAAGAGATCGTAGAACGAAGAGCATTCCACATATTTACCAGAAAATGTAGGCAATTCGAGTTTAGGTAGTTGTACCTGCTTAGATTGAACGCTCTGCGATGGCTGAGGTTGCGAAAGTGGAGCTGGTGCTATATGCCTTTCGACTTCACCGATGAAACTTGATATTTGATAGATTGCTGTTTGCCAGTTTGCTGTTTTCTCTTCAGTTTCTTCTATTTCATTTACTTGTGAAGAATCTGGAGTGATAGCTTCAATCGTCTTGTTGATGGAATTGAGTGTGATGAGCTTCCTGTCCAAGTGCATCAGAACAACTTTGAGTGCCTCAAAATCTTGCTTCGATACTTGGTCAGTAGGATTTGCCATGATTGCATTGGCGTCGTTGATGTACTTAGTGACAACACCACGATGTGCTCCACGAGTACTTCTTTCCCTTGCTAGGGTAGCTTGATTGTCTTCCGTGCTGGGAGTTGACATCTTGAAGGATTATGTGAATGATATCACGTCGGGGTCACCAAATGTTCTGTGTTGAACTTATGATTTATATTCAAAACCGAGAGTTTAGAATACGTCTTGAATTGGATAATGTAGAAAGAATTATGATTGATTTTAGCAGGAAAGAATCACGTGAAAGTGGCGGGAATTAAGATGCAAGAAAACGTGAAACATATTACATGTACATAAAAGCAATTTATAATAAAACTCTTTAGCATACATTGAAGTTAGCCACGTCTGAACAATGCTGAACGTGGATGGAATCAGTATCTACACTAGGACTTATGTAACAACAGATGATGACCAAATGGGGCAGATCTATTTGGGTGAGGAGGAACTCAAAGCCCGCAGGATAGGCCATGACGCCATGATGGAACAAGATGCAGTACACATTGGGAATGAAGCAGATGTGAACGCACATCTGCTCGACACCAACGGAACGAAAATGGGAGTCACAGGGCTTCTGGACACAGGAGCGGTAGTGAGTGTGATGCCGATAAAAACTTGGGAAAGAATGGGCTTCACGAGGGAAGATCTAATTCCAACGAATCTCCGACTGGCCGCCGCCAATCGAGGAGCTATTTACGTAGCCGGAAAAACACCAATAACGGTCCTCCACATGGGAGGACGTGATCCTTGGATGAGCTTCCTGGTGGTAGTGAATTTGGACGACGCCGACCAATTCATCTTGGGCAGAGATTTTGTCAGGAATTTTGACGTGATGATTGACTTGAACAACGGTCTGATACGGATTAGAAACCCGGACCGGAAGTATGTTAAGAAACCAATTAATAGGATAATAACAGACGAAAACAAGGTACCAATTTTTTTAGATAGAAAAGTAAAACTACAGCCAGGACAAGCTGTGGTGGCAATTTTTAGAATGAGGAATTTGAATTCGTTAAGTGATAGTAAACAGGTTTGCTTAGTACCGAATCCAAATAGTCAGAGTTCGGTGATTTTGGGCCGGAGCTTCTCGGTAACGCGAAACGGACTGTGTGTCAGTGTGTTATTGAACACACTGGACACCACGGTTTCAATCCAGCGTGGAAAGAAGCTTGGCTACGCTTTGCCGATGAGGACCGACTATGAGGAGACACAAAACTTGAAGAAACATAGTGTGAAAGACTGTCCCTATCATGCTAGTAAAGATAAAATTTTAAAGAGGATTAATGAATTAAAATCTATTCATAAATTGTTTTCAATGAAATCCGAAACGGACGACGGCTTATCAAGCTGCTCGAATTTTCCGGAACGCCCCTCGTCATATGAACTAGAATCTGACAAACCGGTTTTGCCAGAGATAGAACATGTAAAAGGGAAAATAGGCGAGGGAGATTTCGGAAAATTGCGGGGCCTCCTAAATCGGAACGCAGATGTATTTTCAAAACATAAGGCGGATATCGGTTGCTGTAATTTCGTCGAACACGAAATCGAACTTGAAGAGGGCGCCGTTCCCCACAGGGAAGGCGCAAGACGAAAGACGCCACACAAATCGGAAGCGTGCCGAGCGGAAATAGAAATGTTGCTTGAATACGACATGATAGAACCCTCGAAATCGCCATGGGCCTGCGGGGTAGTAATGGCGAAAAAGAAAGGGGGCAGCTTAGATTTTGTTGCGACTTTCGTTACTTGAACGCGGTAACAATTAAAGATGCGTAGCCGATACCGCGGATAGACGAGAGCCTCTCTAAGCTTGGTGATGCCAAGTTCTTCGCCACATTGGACTTGGGTTCTGCCTTCTGGCAGGTCCCTCTGCGGAAGAAGGATAGAGAGAAAACCGGATTCGCGTGCGAATTGGGATTGTACCAGTGGAAGAGGATGCCCTTCGGCTTGTGCAATGCAACGGCCACTTTTCAAAGACTGATGGCTCAGGCTTGGACTAGAGTGACCAAGAAGTACGGGAATCTCGTGATGTGTTACGTGGATGACGTAGTCATAGCGACACCGACCCTGGAAGACCACATTGATAGGCTCGATGAGGTCTTTGGATGCATGAAAAGAGCAGGATTGAAGTGCAAACCATCGAAATGTGAAATCCTTGGGGATTCGATTAAGTACCTGGGAAGAACAGGGGAGCAGCAAGCGAAAGAAAACCGTCACCTTTGTGGACCAGGATAAGGAAGGTGAAAAGGCAGAACAAAATCTGCTGCAAGACTATTTGTCCGGGGAGACGAATGATGAGAAGAACCAGCGATCACAAGATCAACACCCGGGACAAAAAAGTTTGTCCGGGGAGTCTGAGATATACGAGAAAATTCCTGATGAGAAAAAGGACCTAGAGAACAGGGTTTTGTCCGGGGAGTTCAGATGGATGCGAAGAAGGCACAGACATGATCTGGAGGAGCGTGCAGTCTCCAGCACAACCTCTTCAACGGATGACAATTCCCGAAACTCAGGAATGGACAGCTATTCAGACAGGAACTCGAGCTCGGGATCAGAACTGTCCGAACTAGCGATCCACACACTACTAGTGGAAACTCGGGCAAGGGATCTGGACAAAGAGGTGTACCAGGATCCTGACAGCGATCGCTACCTTATACCAAGCGAAGGAGTCTTTGACAACGCAGCGGATGATTTGGAGACAATAGCGGTATCGAAACGTTCGATAACTCTGTTGCCGCAGAAAGAGGTAGTCAGGACTGATCTTCAGCCGTTCCAGCAAGAAACACAGCCGCTGGCGAAGATTTGTTGCGTTAAGATGGAAGACACACATCAGCCCAATGAGCTGAATAGTCAGATGAGGGTCATGAAGACGTACTTGAAGGCGAGATACAGACTATCGGATCTTCTCAGGGCGCAGAGAAATGATCGCATGACAAGCAACCTGAAAAGGTGGATCGAGAATGGTTCTCCCGATAAAGGGGACCTCGAGCAAGATAGTTATCGCATCCTGAGACAGTACTTCGTGCAGAAGCAAGGGAGGTTATATTTGAACAAAGACGGGATTGTGGCTTGCAAAAGAAGATAGGAAGACAGAGTCCTATACAAGTATAACGCGATAGTGTTACCGCAACTCTATCAGACAGAACTATTATTCAGGTCGCATGATCAGATGGGCCATCAGGGGATCGAAAAAGTATATCAGAGGATCCTGAAGCGCTTTGAGTGGCCTGGAATGAAAAAGGCATGTGAGAAGTGGGTAACAGCATGTCTGTCATGCCAACAGGTCAAGGATCCAAGGAAATTGCGATGGAGTCGTCTGAATTCAATGAGGTGGTGCAGATAGATCACCAGAAGATATGCATGACAGACAGTGGTTATAATCAGGTGTTGGTCATGATAGATCATTTTACGAAGTATGCTGAGGCCGTGCCCTGCATAACTGCCTCGGCGGAAGAGACATGCGACCACCTGATCAATACGTGGATAGCGAGACATGGCTGTCCGATGACGTTTCAATCGGATAATGGAACAGCTTTTGTAGGAGAGCTTACGAAAGAGCTTATGAGACGCTCACAGGTCGCTCAGGCTCACTCCACGACATACCACCCTCAGACGAATGGCTTAGTGGAAAGACAGAATAGGACGTTAGTGTCGATGCTGAGAGTATATTGTTCCAGGTACATGACCGATTGGGACAGATACCTTCCACAGGTGATGGGAGCATATAACAGCACGCAACACTCCACCACCGGAGTCAATCCACACATGATGCTAACTGGACACGAGAAGTCTTTACCCTTAACCTTCTTCTACCCAGAGTATGAGGGAAAGAAAACGTCTCCACAGGTCTACGTGAGGGATGTGATCAGACGCCAACAGGAGTTGAACGATTTGTGTAAACGAAATACTCAGCAAGCACAGGCAAGGCAGAGGAAAAGATTCGACAAGAAAGCAGCTGGTGCAAAAGCTTACTCGGTGGGAGACTACGTATGGGTATTTCAGAACGTTATACCACCGAAAGGGACGAAAAAGCTCCTAAAAAAGTGGAGGGGACCCTTCATGATTACAGAGGTGCACCAGGAGGGATGCTTTTATAGACTGAGTACTGGCCGAGCCGCCCACTACAAGAACATCAAGCCACACAATCCATCGACAGAAGACTGGTGTATACCTGCAGATATGGAAGAAGGGGATTATCTAATGATGGATCCTGCTTGTGAGGTCAACGAGAAGGCCACCAGGGAGAAGAACGATGGAAACGAAGTCGTGGAGGAAGGAACGGACACACCGCTGGACCTGGATCCAAACGAGGTGATCGAAGCGGACGATGAAACCTTACCCTACCTTGAGGAGGATTGGCAGGATCCCGAACAGATAGAGGTGCCCAAGAACTTGGAACCGGATCTTCCGTTCACGATACAGACTCGTCAGAAGGACGGGACAAGACCCAGAAAGAAACACAATCCTTACGGTGACGACTTTGTAGTGGATAGGATAGATCTGAAGAAGATAGTGGAGGAAGTAGTGGGTCTAGAAGAAATAACTGTGTCACAAGACATTGACATAGTCGATGATCACAATGAGTGGGTCGACGAGCGGTCGAAATCCGAGGTGGAATTCGACGACGAGCAACAGCAGTCATATGAACAAGACTTGACGAACCTGCGTGTCCTAGAGTGGCTGAACGAAATGACCTCGGACCCAGAGCGGACCAGCGTCACGATTCAAGACGTAGGTCGTGAAAGCATGAAATACATCAAGACCGAACGAGATGATCCTTCCGAAGAACCTAAGAAACCTGACATAGGTAGGGTAGTTGAGTCATATTTTAACTTACCAAATGAATATTCAAGTAACATAACAGACGGGGATACTAACAGACGGGGATTTCATACTCACAAATAGATCATGTGCAATAGCAATCACAGCAGACATGAGTTTTAGGACAGCGTTAGCGGCAGATTTTAAGAGAGAATACAAAAACGTGGAATTCCTTTGGAAGCAAAGACCAGGGATAGGGGGCGTATCGGCCTTACCTCCGGCGGCGTCGCAGATAACGGGAAAATACCTATGCTTCTTGGTAACGAGGGCGACGG